TCCCATAAAATTTTATGATTCATAACTTTAAAATTCAATGAGACTGGCAGAAATTGTATGATTTAATCACTTGCACAGATGAATTTGAAAGATTTTTTCAAAATGAGAAGTCAAATAGCACAAAGAAGCATAAGTATTTAGCATAAAGCTGTTACATTCTGCCCATCTAGTCCTGTTATCCCTAAATGCTGCAGGATTAATGGTACAATATGACTTATGTAATATGTGTTCTTTATTACTCTGCTCTAATGAAGTGAATCAGAGACGAGGTCAGCTTTACTTCTAAATGTCCTTGCTTAACAGCGCACCTTAGTATAACCTCTTAGTTACTAGCATATGACTTTGTGTTTTAGTTTTGAAAACCCCACAAACTTCCTATTGGCTTGCAAAGTTAGCAGTTAAATTAGAGTAAATACCCTAAAATGTTAAATCATCAGTATTTTCCATAAAGTTGTAACAACTAATTGTAAGCCTTTAACTTAGCTATTTAGCGAAAAATACCTGGTCTCATGTGACAGGACTCAGAAAGCTCACAAACTTTACTCTTTAAGAAAGCTTGGCCTAGTTAATATTTTTCTGGATTTTTAATTTTTGCTATACATGTCTGTAGTACATAAAGTACATTCACTGTGAGGAATTGGTATGTGTACATAACACATCTCAGTTCTTTTCTTCGCCTTTCCCTGCTATGCTTTCCCTTTTTTGTAGCATTAGATTAATTTATCTTATAAATCCTTATAAAGTTAATTATCATATGTACAGACTAACAGACCAATACTAGCCTAAAAAGCATGACAATTATACTAAATAAAAGTACAGTATTAGATACATTGTCCCTGCTAGGTTACAATAATTTTTTGTTTTTTGTCTTACCTGTCTTTTATACTTTATATATTGACTTTCTTATATGAGAAAAACCATGCAATACATAAGCTTGCACGTCTAATTTACTTTGCTTAACATTACGGTCTCAAGGTGCATCCACTTTCCTGTAAGTGGCCTAATTTTATCCTTCTTTATGGCCAAGTAGTACTCCATTGTCTTAATGCTGTACTTTCCTTACATCTATTGATGGGCACATGAGCTGTTTCTGAGAGTTACCTATAGCAAATGTTGCTGCTGTAAACGTGGGTGTGACTGCAGGGTGATGTTGGTGACTTCTGGAAGAACCTAGAAGAGGAGGAGCTGGCTCAGCTCTGATTTCTATTTCTAGTTTTTCCAGGAATCTCCCTCCTGACTTCCGTGGTGATTGTGTCAGTTCACATCCCCCCAACAGTGAAGAAGGCCCCCTTTCCTCCTGCAGCCTCACCCGCATTTGTTAGTGATTTCATGCTGATAGCCATTGTCTTCTGGAGTTAGATGGAATCTCTGTGTTGTTTTCATTTGCATGTTTCAAATGGCCAGCAACTTTAAACGTTTTTCTATGTATTTATTGTCTGTTTGTACTTAATTTGAGAAGTATCTGTTCACTTCATTTGAGGGTATATATATATAATATATATATATATTATATATATACACACATATATACATATATACACATATATACATATATATTTTTTTTAATTTTTTTTTTTCCTAGATACTAACCCTTTGCGGAGTAGCTAGTGAAAGGTTTCTTTTCGCATTCTGTAGGCTGTCTTCTCTGCTGGTGATTGCCTTTGCAGATTGCCTTTGCTCTGCAAAAGCTTTTCGGGGAAAAAAAAAAAAAAAAAAGCTTTTTGATTGCTGCAGTCCTATGGCTCGAGTGTTTGACCTGTTTTGTCTTTAAGCAGATTTAGTGTTTCTGTTCTGATGTTTGGATCTTTGATTCATTTTGAGTTTAGTTTAGTGCATGGTGAGAATGTTGAGCTTAGGTTCGGTCTTTGGTGCAGCTAGTTTTTCTAGCAGCATTTGTTGAAGAGGCTGTCTTTCCTCCAGAGAAAGGATTTGGTCCTTTTGTCAAAAGGTAAGTTAGCAGAGTGTGCCTAGAGTTCTTTTTGCACCTTCCCTTCCAGTCCATTGATCTGTAAATCTTTTTTTTTTTTTTTCCCTTCAGTAGGCTGTTTTTATTTTATTTTATTTTTTTGGCAGAACCAGGCATTGAACTCAGGCCCTTGTGCTTGCCAGAGAAGCACTTATTCCACTGAGCCATCTCCCTGGCCTCAAGCTGTTTTTATTTAATCACTGTAGCTTCGTAGAATAAATTGAAATCTGAGATCATAATGTCTACTTCCTTGCCATTATTATATAGGATTGCTTTTGCTAATCTAGGTCTCTGGCTCCATATGAATTTTAGGTTTGCTTTCTCTAGTTCTGTAAAGGAATGTTACTAATGCTTTGATTGGGATTGCCTTAAGTCTGTGTAACAGTTTTGGAAGTATGCCCATTTTGACTATATTGGTTCTGGCTATCTAGGAACACAAGTTATCTTTTCATTTTCTGCTCTCTTCATTGTTTTCCTTTTTCAGAGTACTGTAGTTTTCATTCTAGAGGTCTTTTGCTTCCTTGGTTAGGTTAACTCCCAAGTACGATATTTCATTTTTCTTGGTGTTAGCATCAAAGGTGTTTTTCTTTAATTTCACTCTCTGGGAGTTTGTAACTGTTGTATAGGAACACAATTGATTTTTGAGTGTTGATTTGTATCCTGCAATGCTACCGAATTGGATAGTAGTTCTAGGAGTACTTTAGTGGAGTTTTTGTGGTCTTCTATGTGGAGAAGCATATCATGTACAAATAATGGTAATTTAAGTTCTTTCTTCCCAACCCATATCCCTTTTCTTTGTCTTGTCTAACTGCTGTGACGTTCAGAAACTATATTGAACAGAAGTAGTAATAGTGGACATCCTTGTCTTATTCTTGATTTTAAAGGAAAAGGTTTCAGCTTCTCTCCATTTAGTATCATGATGGTCATTGGTTTGTCATAGATGACTTTTATCAGATTGAGATAAAAGTGGGGTTTTTTGATGAACAGTGTTGGATTATTTTCAGATGCTTTGTCTATGTCTGTTTTGATGATCATGTGATTTTTTCCCTTGTTTCTCTTTACATGTTTTACTTTATTGAGTTGTGTATGTTGAACCATCCCTGCCTCCCTGGGATGAAACCTGTTTGGTCCTTGATGTATGATCTTTTTGATGATTTGCTGCACTGTTTTCCCACATTCTATTGAGTGTTTTTTACATCTTTGTTCATTAAAGGGATTAGTCTATAGTTTTCTGTTTTAGTTGGGTCCTTTTCTGGTTTTGGATTCAGGAATTGCTTGTCCAGGCATGACTTTGGGAGTACAGCTTCACTTGATATCATTAAAGAGTTTGAGCCAAGTTGATATTACATTGGTGCAGTTGATATTAAAAGTTTTTTTAAAAAATGCTTCTTAGTATTGTTCTGAACATAATACTTTTTCCTAAGTATCTATTTTTACACTTCTAGGGGTGTTCCTATTTTAAGCAAACAACTACAGAATTGCATCTTCAAGTTCATTTGAAGTTAGATGCTTTTGCATAACTGTTCTTAGCTTTAAAATGATCACAGAAATACATTGTTGCTTGAGTACTCATTGATCTCAATACCTGAGCCCTTTCTCTAGAGTCATAGGCTTAGGCTGACCCTGATGTGAACCTTGAGCTTTTAAGCCCCAGTATGCCTTCACCATTGCGTGCAGTGTGTTTCACCTGATTCCTTTCCACTCTTCTTGTTATCACTTCCTTTAGATAATAATGCCATTATTTGCTGTGTGTGCTAGAATTTTTTTTTTTAGTTTGAATACCAGTCTGAGCTTAACTATTTGTTAAAATTATGCTGTTTCAGATTGTCTCTCCCATATTTTCCCCCAGCTGTGTTGAGTAGTAGGTAGACACATGGTAGACATTTTTTCTTATCTGTAACATATTACACACTAACAATTCAACATCCACTGCCGTCTTTGCTTTTGCTTTCCAACATGTTTGGTAAAAGAATACATTTGGAGGGCTTCTTAATTAAAAACACAGATTGTTGGGCCTTGTAAGAAGAGCTGTTCATTCAGTAGGCCTAGGGTGGGGCTTCTTTGGAATGTGCTTGTTTTCCCAAGTGTTGCTGCTGTTGATCTGGGTCTAGACTGTCAGCCATTGAGCTTATCTTACATGCTTTTTCCAGCTAACTATTGTACCCAAGTAGAGACTAAAGTAAAACTCAGAAAACTCCCAACTGGGGAACTACCCGCTCGGGTCCCCCTCCTGTCCCTCTCTCGGACAGGAGCTTTCTCTCAATAAATATGTTCTGCTCATAAAAAAAAGAAAACCCCCAACTTATATATAAAGGTAGCATAGTCTGGAAGGTTTGATCATGTAAGTCTTTGTTGGAAACTTAAGATTTCTCTCATCCTCCCCAGAATAAATGTATTAATTATGTAGCCTTAAAAGACCTAATTGAAGGGCTGGACAAATAGCTCAGCCAATTAAAGCACCTGCAAGCAGGCACAGGGGTCAAGGGTTCGATCCCTGGGCCTGCCATGCAGGCCCCACCCCTGGGGCATGCTGAGACCAGGATTGAGACTGGGCATGGTCGCTTGCGCCTATAATCCCAGCTCTTGGAAGGCTGTAAACAGGCGGATCACAATGAGTCTGATGTAGTAGTGAGACCCTCAACACCCTGTAGACTTTTCCCTAAAATGAAAAAATAAAAGAAACAAAAAAAAGAAGATCTAATTGAGTGTGTTTGCAGAATAAAATGTTGATGCAGTAATAGTGTTTAGAAAAACAATATGCCCATAGGGGAAAACAAAGGGGAGGTGTAAGCCTGAGAACTGAGGCTTCAGAAAACACCTTGTAGGGAACAGGCAGCCATGTAGTGGCTTACAGGGTTTCTAAACATCCTGGGATACCTTCAGATGCTAAAGATTTTTAGAGTTTGCTGGCAGTAGTTACTATGTTTAATTTTTACTTCCAACTATGAGAATTTCTCTTCCTTAAGGTGATGTAAGGCCATTTATAATGCTTAGTAGAAATAATTATAATTCTTTTATTTTAATCAGAAGAAAGCAGAAAGAAAGGTCTTAGAGGAATCTGAACAGCTCTTGGAACAGGAAGAGGGAAGAGATCAAGAGTGGGGAAGATGTGCCCCAGGTGAAATGAACTGGGTTAGAAGTGAGCAGAAGAGTGAAGAAGAGAGGTAACTGAGCTCTTCAAATGCCTTAACTTTGTCCATCACCCAGAATGACAGTTACCTGTAATGAGCATGGAGAAGTGGTTGATGAATTTGTCCATGGAGTGGGTCCTATAAATGCAAGTTCAGTGGTTTGGAAGGTGAGGATCTAGGAAGATGAAATGTTGTAAAATCAGTTCCTTTTAGATGTGGATAGCTAGAGGATATCTACAGCCTTTCTCATAAATTTCTTCAGCACATACAATAAACTCTTGCCTTTTCCTTGGATTCTACACTTAATCTCAAGAGATCTTAAGAGTTGACTCCTGTGTCATTTGTGGATCACTGTGTATGTATGTTCTTTTTCCACAGATTTTCTCTAGGAAGAAAATACCATGTGCACCTTCATATGAATTTGAGCCTTGGGTGAGGAACCAGTGTAAACCCAGCAGAGTGTTTCCCAAGTTCTGCTTTAATCCAAGTTTCAGTTCATGTAAACATCCTACACTCAGCTGTGATACATACCAATGGCTGGGAGGTGGGTGTTTACCTCAGCTGACTTGGAATGTCTACCAGTTAACATTGATAAATGATTTGACAACAGTGTGCAGAGCTTGACTTTTTAAAATGTAATTATTCTAAACTTGAATTACTGTTGTATCTTTTCAGCTTTGTTAGTAAACTTCTAGCCTGACATACAAGGCTCTTGAAACTGGGTCTAAACATGTCCTTCTATGGTAGCCAAGGTCACATTTCTAGGCATGGCAATACGTTTTAAGAAGCATAATCTTTGACATCAGACTTCCTTGGCATCTGGATTTTGCCAGTGAAATTCTCCAGGGATTTGGAAAAGATGTTTTTTCTTTGTGCCATCGTGGTTTGCTCATCTGTGAAATACGGTAGTTGCATGGATTGGATATATAAAGTGGTTCATTAGTATAGTACCTGTTATATTAAGTGCTCAATAAATGCTATTTATTGTTAATGTTGGTTATATTTAGGTAGTCAATAAATAAGCATAATTCGTTATTATTTTAGCAGTAAAGATGATGCTACCTTTTTGGTCTAATAGAAATGGTTTAAGTCTTTGCTATCTTTGTAACTTAGTAGTAGAGTTTTGAAGCCTAGGTTCTAGAACTCAAGAGTCTTGGGGCTGGTGAGATGGCTCAGTGGTCTAAAGCACCTACTTAGAACAAGCTTCGCAAAGCACAGGGACCGCGGTTCAATCCCCCAGCACCACATGCCAGCCAGCCCCGCTCCCTGGTGGGCTGAGCTGGCCACACACACACACACACACACACACACACACACACACAAATAAATAAAAATTAAAAAAAAAAAAGAGTCTGATTCTGTTACTTTGGGGGAGTTACTAATTTCTCTGTGCCTCATTTTCTTCAGTTTGCCCTGTTGGAATTATGATAGTACCTGAAAAAATTGTTGAAACCAAATGAATTTATATATATTAAGTGAGGTAATGCCAGGATAATGTTCAAAATAAATTCCAGTGCAAAATGATTCCGTAGTACCATACATTTCTAAAGTTGTCTCTAAAGGTAAAAGGTTGTTTGTAAAGGTACGCTAGCACCTGATGATATTGTTTGGTTTAGCTCTTCGGCAGAGGGTATCTCGTGTTTCTTTCTCATATTGAATTCACTAAAAATTCCAGGTAATTTTTTTAGGTGGGAGAAAGGAACCTCACGGGATTTGGTGTTCTCATGTGAGTTGTGTTCAGAAATACAGTATATGCTACTGCTGAATGACATCCAGGGGAAAGTAGCTTATGGAACCTGAGAAACAGTGTGACAGGTTTTTTACTTGTTTGGTATCAGTAGGTTATGAGTTATAGTTGAGAGGTGTTTTCAACTTTTCCTGCAAATAATGGATTATGAATCTGCATTAAGGTGGAATTTTCTTTCAAACTGAAAAAAAAAAAAACCCTGCTAAAGAAACACATGAAAAATTAAAATTAATGTATGAAAAAAAATTAATTTATGGTGATGGTACAGTGAACATAGAGATAGTTTAGGAATAGTTTGAACAATTTCATGGTTGTGAATCAGCTGAAGACAAAATGAATAGCCTTCAACGTTAAAAAAAAAAAAATTGAAAGATTGAGTAAATTGCTTGGCTTAGACAGTTGACTATTCAGCACATTTCAGAGGCTATGAAGGTCAGTTCCATTGAAAGCATTTTAACAGGTTTGAATATGAGCTGGGTATCGAATTTGTTCCACATGTTTGACTGCTGAACAAAAGCAATATACATTTATACTTCTCTTCAGATCTGTGTACTTGTGCTGCTTCAGATTCCAGTGTTTTACTAAGTGCCCCTGGAAACAAAAACTTGGGTCTGTGCTTATGCTTCTGAGACCAAGGCTCCGAGTTCTCAGTGGAAATCACCCAGAGGGGCCTGGGGAAGAGAGATGCGCCAGTCAAGGTCCAGCATCATGGTGATACTGTGCTTTTTTACCTTGGTGGAATCATAGGAGTGGAGTTCGTGACCAGGAACCCTATTAGCAGAGCTTCTAAGAGGATTTAAGAAATGATGTGTGAAGAAAACAGCCTGAGAAATGGGTAGTTTTATCCTCCATCATGACAATGTGCCATGTCATGCATTAATTAATGCAGCAATGTCAAAAACATGGCTGTGTACCTTATTCACTGGGCCTGACACTGCAAGTTCTTGCTGTTCCACAAAACATTTTCAGTAGATTCAGGACATCAAGGTAGCCAACCACATAATATCTAAGGAAACACAAAAGAACCACCAGAACTGTTTCAGGGTCTCACTGAGTTACCCAGACTGGGCTCTGTTACGTGATTCATCTACCTCAGTCTCAGCCTCCCATAGTATGAGGCTGCAGGCATACAACACCATGTATGGAATTTGTCTCCTTTTTAAAAACAGCTGTATAAACTGAAAGTTCTGCCATTCCAGTGTCAAAGATTTGGAATCATGCAAGTATTAGTCAAATGTGCAAGTTCTTTGTCACCCCAGATACCTTAACTAGTGATGGTGGGCTACTCATTAGCTAGGTGCCCCTTGCCCTCTGTAAGGAATTTCAGAAGGCACTGGACCTGGGCAAGTCAGTTCAGGGTAGGAATGTAGCTCCTGGCCCTGGCTCAGTCTCCAGCAGCCCCCAAAAGAAAGTCCTGCCAAGTTGAAATTTCTCAGCATATTTGGCTTGTTCCACTATTTTCAAGGAGATAGTGGTTTCTTAACAAAACTAGTAATGTTTTTGAATGATTAGATTGCACATGAAATAGACCTAGCAATTCAGATCAAACTGGAAAAAATGTGTGGTCTAGACAGTACTTCACATTTGGCCTTTATTAAAAGTACTCTACTGAATTCTAAAATAAATTTTATATAGTTTTTTTTTGGTATATGTGAAAAGCAAAGCAATTACAACATCAAAATTACCTTTTTAAAAAAAATAATTATTCAGGGGCCAGGGAGATGGCTCAGTGGAATAAGCGCTTCCCTGGCAAGCGCAAGGGCCTGAGTTCGATCCCTGGTTCCGCAAAAAAAAAAATAATAATAATTATTATTATTATTCTACCAGCTTGGCCAGTATTCATAAGCTGTTTCCTGTACCTAAATCCAGAATTAAAATTTACACATGATGCTTCTGTGAAGTATGTCCTATATGTTATGGGAAATTCATATTTTTTGAAATGTGAAATAAAGATATGGAGTCTTAAAGATGAATGTTTCTAGTTTTATATGTTGAATAAACAGTAAGTAAAATGATTTATTTTTAAGAGGGTGATAAAAAGTATTTTTTCAAATTAAACAGATTATCAATTTGCCTTTGAACTTCAGTGTACAAAATACAGAAATTTTCATATCTCTAGGGTAAAAAATTAACATAAACATGTAGCTTAAGCTACCAGATGGGCTGTAGGTTAAATTCTTTCTTCTGGTGTTCGTGTCATTGCTATATATTCTCATGTTTAGGTCATATGTTTATGTCTTTATATAATCACTGTATAGTAGAATCTGTGATCGTGTAGGCTGCCAAATCTGCCTCACATTGTGATTTAGCCTACACATGGAGCACATGGAGTTGTGTGTTAATGAAAAGCACTGCTTTTAGGTGAATCAGTAAGTGATGCATTCCAATTATAGTGCGTTGATCCCTCCCCTGACCCTTCAGCTTTATGGTTTCTTTATTGGTGCATATTTTTAGTACACGATGACATTTATCATGAGGAGTTGGTACATGTATGCAGTGCATCTTAATTCTTTTATCCATCCCTTAACAGCCTAGCGCCCAGCTCCTGAGACCTTTTCCTTTGCAAAAGCTGTTTTCATCATAGTTTTTTCTCTTTAGCTCCCACTTACTCCTTTTTTCTTCCCCTCCTCCATCTCTTCCCCCTTTAACCTATATTTTTTAGAACTATAAGAGATTTTTTCCTGATGAACATGTGCTTATTTTAAATGTTACAAAATCTGAATAAATTAAAAATGTTTCCATTTTCCTTATTTACTATTTCCGCTTATTTAATAGTCCTAATAGGAACATAATATATAGTTGAATTCCTTTGATAACTTCTAAGATATACTCAAACTTTGAACTGCAAACTCTGTTCTCTCAAATTGGAAGATTTTATGTTTTTTCCCATAGTTGTCTGAGAAGTGTTGTGCATAAATTATTTTGTTTCTCTATTTCATTATACCTTTCTCATTGATTTCCAGTAGAATTTTATGATGCTAGGGGTGGTCTATGAACTTCATTAATTGTTATTTATTTTTGCGGTTCCGGGGATTAAACTCAGGACCCTGTGCTTGCCAGGCAAGCACTTATTCTACTGAGCTAATGAAAAACACTGCTTTTAGGTGAATCAGTAAGTGATCCATTCCAGTTATAGTGCATTGACCCCCCCCCACACTTCAGCTTTATGGTTTCTTTATTGATACATATTTTTAGTACATGATTACATTTATCATGAGTAGTTGGTACATGTACGCAGTACCAACCCATTAATTATTATTTAAGATGGGGGAACTTGTGATGTATAATAGAGTTTTATCTTTTTTTTCTTTTTATGTTTCTTTTTAAAAAATAATTATTTGGGGGGCCAGTGAGATAGCTCAGCAGACTAAAGTGCCTGCTTATTTAGGTAAGCTTGGGTAAGCGCAGGGACTGTGGTTTGATCCCCAGCCCTACATGCCATCATCCCCACCCCCAGCACAGGCTGAGCCAGCCAGAGTCCAGGAGTGGTGGCACACGCCTGTAATCCCAGGGAGGCTAAAAGCAGGAGGATCACCTTGAGTCCAAGCTGTGTGGTGAGACCCTGCAACAATCATTCAATATATATATTCACTACAAAATTACAAACAAACGTGTAATCTCTTTTTTTTTTTTTTAATTTATTTGGTACATAGTCTTCACTACGCAGTTTGGACTCCTAGTGATCTTCCTGTTTTCAGTTTTCCCAGAACTGGGATTACAGGCATGCCCCACCGAGCCTCCTGGCCTTGGTGACCCACTCAGCACACCCCGGGGGCAGGGGTGGTGCAGCATATGGTGCTGGGGATTGGACCAGATACCTGTGATTGCCTAAGCAGGTGCTGAGTGCACTGAGCTATCTTGCAGGCCCTAGTAATCTCTTTTCATTGCTAGTGACTTAATATTGAGAATCGTTTTAAAGCCAGAACTTCTGTTTAACTAGAGATAAACAGAAAACTTTTAATTTTTTCACAAAGCTACCACAAGTAACATGATGAAACCAGCAGTTTTGTGGTATTTTGTTTGCTTTCTTGTGGTTTGTTTATATTTGTAGGGTTGTTTTAGCATTTTTATATGTATATAAATCAGGATTGCTTTCTTATATTAGCTTATTAACCTTAACATTTTTTAATTTTATAGTGAAGAATTGGCCTCAAGGGTATTTTTACAGTTTAATAGACATTAGTCCTGTTAGGCGGAGTAAAACTTTCATAAATCAAAATCTTAGCAGTAGAACCTGTTCAACTACTTACCTTCTGTGGACTGGCCAGGTATAATTATTACTGGTTTAGTAATTGAACCCTTGTTTTATTTCAGAGCAATTTTTTTTTTTTTAATGTATTTGATACAGGGTCTCACTGTGCAGCTCGAACTAGAAGTAATCCTCCTGTTTTCATCCTCCCCAGTGATGGGATTACAGGTATGCACCACCACTCCTTTCAGTGGATGACTCAGCATGTCTGGGAGCAGGGCCAGCGCTGCCTGTGGTTCTGGGGATCAAATCCCGGTCCCTGTGCTTGCCTAAACAGGCGCTTGGTGCGCTGAGCTATCTTGTCAGCCCTTCAGAATGATTTTTAAAGTTTATTATATTTAGTATTTATTCATTCTATCAAAAATAATTAAAAGCAAGATTTATTTTAGGCTGTTTCGCTTTGTTTTTAAAAATTACTTGAAAAATTTCTTTGCTCCTTGTTCTCCATGCAGGTTTTAAAAGAACTCAAATTTCCAGGTGGGAGAAAGTACTTTTGTGAGTTTTTCTTGATTGAAAAGTTACAAATTACCCAAATTAATATTTTTATATTAAGTACAGTGATTATATCTCTAAACTTGATACAGTTTCATATTTAAATTCCCAGAAAACATCACCAGGATAATAAATGTATAGTGAATATACAGACATTGATATCAGAGTAGCCTAAAACATTAAATACGTGCTCGCGTACATATTTAGTAATGATACAGAACGTATTGTGTTTTGTAGTAATTAGACTTAACATAGAACCTGTTGTCAAACTGCTGTTTATGTAAAGCCAAACTAAATTTTAATGTTCTCTCAATGTTTTTCTTCCCTGTTTACTACCCCATCATCACTGCAAGTGAGTCAAGCGATGTGTTAAAGCAGAGATCCTCTCTCATTCTCCATGGATTTTCTGAGGAGGCAGTTTGAGATCAAGGAAAAGCAGTCAGGCCTGGACCTGGTGTCACACTGCTATAATCCTAGCACTCTGGAGGCCGAGACTGGAGGATTGCAGATTTGAGGCCAGCTTGGTCTCTATCTAGTGAGATGTTGTCTGGAAAAAAAAAACAAAAAAACCCAAGAGGGAAAAAACAGTGCTTTTTTCCCCCTCTTATTACATACTGCTTCACATACTTTCACATCACCAGATGTGTGGGGATTGCTCCTCACCAACAATTAAGACATTTTTGTCTGTACATTCTCTAGTGGATAGTGGGAGTACGTCCTCCAGGTCAACTTGTTTCTGACACAGTACCTGAAAGTGTCAGATCCTGCAGGTAGAGAAGTCCCACAAACTGCCTCCCATTTCAGATGTCAGTCGTAGTCATGGGTTGTGTGTGAGCTGTGTTTCTGACCAAGTGGCGTGGAAATTGCCTCTGTGCCCTTCTCAGGTGTGACCAGTTATCTGACCATCTCCTGCAACTCAGTAATCAGCTTTACTCGCATTTGCTCACTTGAAATAAAGGATAAAACAAGGATACAGGTGAACAGGTGGTGGAAGAGTTACACAGTACAAGATACTGGAAAGAGACGCAGGTTTATGCTCTAGATTTGCTGCTTTTCAGGAGCTTCCGCATGTCCAGCCATCTGAAAGCTCATCTGAACCTTGTCCTTACCAGTTTTATGGAGACTTCATTACATTGTGCTGGAGATTGGTGGATGAGGTTCGAAGTCTCAACCATAATTAGGCTTTGGTCTTTCTCACCACCAGTTCCCATTCTGAAGCTCTCCAGGGAACCCAGGCACTCGTCAACCTGATGGACTTATAAAATGCACCCTTTCTCATTCCAGAGATTCCGCAGGTTTTAGAAGCTTTATGTCTGGAAACAGGAAGGCCAAATAAATCAGAGTATCATGAGCATACTCGTGGGAATCAGCACTCCGGCGTAATCTGGGCTGCACCATTTGACACCTGTGTGACCTTGTCCAAGTCTAACTTTTTTAGATCGTTCCTGATTGAAAATAAAGCAAATCTACATCGGGTTGTTAGTCTGAGGATTACATCAACAAACTATATGAAGGATACAGAATAGTACTATCAACGAAAGTATTCAATAAATGCTATTTTTTTTTCTGTTCCCTGATTCATAGGAGCTCCCTCAATGTCTACCCCTAAATCTTGTGTCTCTCAGTTAAAAGTCATCTACTTCAATATTTCAGGTAAGGATTTTTTGTTGTTGGGTTTTTTATTATTATTATTGGATATAGGGTTTCACTGTGCAATTCAGACTCACAGAGATCTACACTACACCTGGTTTCGGGCCTGGCACTGCACGCTTGGGACCAGCACAACATGTGAGACTGGGGATCAAACTTGGGTCTTTGTGCTTGCCAGACAGGCACTTAGACCACTAAGCTATCTTCCCAGCCCAGTAGAATGTACTTTAAATACTGTATATAAGAAGGAATTTTTTTTAATCCCCTGATTGGCATGCTGGCCCCACCCTCAGGGAATGCTGAGACATGGATGGAGACTGGACGTGGCAGTGCATGCCTGCAATCCTAGCACTTGGGAGGCTGAAAACGGGAGGATCACTGAGTCTGATGTGTGCAGTGAGACCCTATAGACCTTGTACTAAAATAAAATTTTTTTAAAAGATGGGTTTTTATTATGAGCAAGGTACTTGTTTCACACAAATACTCAAACCTTAGGTTCAAATTGAATAGGTAAGGTAGGGTGTAGTATTTGAATATTTAAAAGTCTTAAGCCGGTTACACGTGGTTTAGAGAAGGTAGGTACTATAGAAGATTCTGACGTATTGACATCAGAGAAAATTAATCATAGTGCCTAGAAATCTCACTGTGAGCTAGGCCATATTGGGATATTGTAACATGAAAGGACATATAATTCAAAATATTAGGGTTTTTTTTTGTTCGTTTGTTTGTTTGTTTTGTGGAACCAGGGGTTGAACTCAGGCCCTTGCACTTGCCAGGGAAGTGCTTATTCCACTGAGCCGTCTCCCCAGCCCAAAATATCAGGTTTTGGAGATAACACTGTTCAGGCTAGACCAGAACACATTATATTAGAGAAATCTTTTCTAGGGTTTTATTGATTATACAAAGATCTCGTCTCAGCCTTTGGGCTAGGATGAAGTTTAGGATATTGGCTATGCAAGGATTTGATTTATGCTTGTGCTTATTTTGTATATAATAGGTTGAATATGTAAGAGATGGTGTTCATAAAAGTTGGCAAACTCGTTTTACTTGTTTCTCAGTCTTGCCAGCCTCTTGTATATATAACACTGATATTTATAGTAAATACCTTGTTTTAAATACTAGATAGTCCCCTTTGGTTGACCCTATTAAGTCTTATGTCAGTGCTATGTCCTTTAATAATTGCTTACTGCAATAAGTTGATAGGTTATTTCGAGTAGCTTCTAGTGCTGGTGGATTATTTGAAAACATTAAAGGCAAAAATAAGAAGATGATATTTTCAGAACAAAGTGATCATAGGACAGGCAAAATAGATACACTTTCTATCTTACTATTTGACCTTCTAATTTTTAGGTATTTCGATCCCATATCTTTTGTATGTGAGTTATAAGTTATGATCTTATAAATTCCTTTTCCTGTGTGACTCCACCCAGTTTTTAATTTTGTGTATATTTGTGTTTGTTAGTAGGGACACAAAGTTCTAGACTAAACCACCTGAATTCATTTGTAAAATGGGTTTATCACAAATTTTAACAAGGATTTGATTAGATAGCACAGGTGTATCACGTAGCTTACTTCTACTTAGGAAATAATCCATCCTTGAAAACTCAGTTTAAATCTTGAGCCTTAGTAGTGTCTTAATCTTGCACTTCCTAGCTAGGTAGTTTCCTTTGTGCCATCAATGTGCCTTATATTCACTAATGTTGAGGCTGTGAGCATAGTGACACTAACCTTATCAGTACTGTATTTCCGTGTCTCCTTTCTTAGATTGTGAGCCCACTGAAGACAAAGATGGTTTTGTTCATCTCAAGTACTTTGTCTAGCATGGTAAATTTATACTCTTTTTAATTAAGGTCTTTTCCCTTTCTCAATAGAAGATAATTCTAGAGCAAAAGTAACAAGTAGAAATGTTCTAAAAATATCCGGCCATGTTCTTGAATCGTCTTTTATTCTTTCCTTCCTACCATACAATATATGGAAGTGACTGTCAAATGAATGAAACTTTCCATTAAATATGAGAAAAAGTACTATGATCAGAAATTGCAAAGGGCTGACCGAATAGCTCAGCAGATTAAAGCACCTGCGTAGGCAGACTCAGTAGCCGGGGTTCGAACCCCAGTGTGCCATCCAGCCCCACCCTCGGGGCATGCTGAGACTGTGATTTAGGCTGGGTGTGGTGCCACGTGCCTGTAATCCCAGTTTATGGGAGTCTGAGAACAGGAGAATTGCTAAATCAAATCTACACAGTGAGATTCTGTATACCCTGTACTAAAATACAGAAAAGAAAAAGAAATTGTGTAAAGCCAACATAACAATACTGTAGGAAAGTACTAAGTTTGGAATTAAAGTCTTGGGTTTATATCATAGTTCTGTTACTTTCTAGCTGTATGACATGGGTAAAGTTATATTATCTCTTTGACTCTGCAGAATGGGGTTTATTGCTATTTGTTGAGTACTGTTTAATATGAGATAATATACCAGTACTACACCTGGTACATAGAAGATACTCTAATGTTTTGTGAATGGAGTTAGTTTTAGTTAATACTGTACCCTTTAAATTTGAGAGAAGCCGAGTTATCTTACCATATACACAATTTGTACTGCAGCTAGAAATATTGTTTAAATTAGTTGATTCTCTTGGTTATGTATTGAAAAACAGAACTTAGTAAATGGTCACTGCCTCATTTTAACTCCGTTATGCTAATGTTGCAGGAAACAGTCACAGAGCTCAAATGGCAGAGTGCTCCTAACAGTGCAGTTGTGTAATTAGAAACTTGTTTTCTGAATGCAAGAAGGCAAGTCTCTCCTTTACATTATTGTCGTGCCATTAAATCCCTGAGAACTTGAGACATCAGCCATCTAAGTCTTCAATTATTGTCAATTTCCTGTGTAAGCTGAGTGTATAAAGAAAATGATCCTCAAGGTTTTTGACACAAAGTTAGTTACTAGATGCCTTTCAAACTAATGATCATAGCATCTGAACTTCATTACTTGGAAGAGTTTTGGCCACTTCAGTCCCAGTTTATCATGTTTTAAAAAGCAACCTCTTAAATTTCTCAACCACCTCTAATTTCTTCTCTGTATTTACTGATTTCATGACTTTTTGCAAAATAAACATTTTCTTCTAACCTCATTTTGTGTTTTCTTCACTTGATCTGCTTTTCAAAGTCTGTCAATTAGTGATCAAATTAAGCTACAGTGTGACTGAAATCCCTGTAATGGTAGCTTACAAAAAAGCATCCTTAAAGGCTGCAGGAAGTAGTGAAGGAAGCCAAAAATTAAGCTATGTTTATCGCAAAGAGGAAACATTTTCAGAAATGTCCAGCTTCTGTCTCATTTGCCAGTTACGTCCTGTTGTCCAGAGGCCAAGAGTCCAAGAACCATAGTTCTTGTTGGGCACATTGTCACTTTGAACAAAATCAGTTCATTTGGGGGCATTGTATTGGCACTTCTTTTAGGGGTTTAAGTTGCTATACTTACAACAGGATGTTTCCTAAGGGTGCAGAACCTCAGTATAGATGACTTACTTTGTTGGGCCGTGACTAGATAGTGGGGCTCATTTCCAGGAATCGTGGTGGCACTGATGACAAGTTACATACCATCCTACCACCAACACCCATAGTCCAGACTCAGACGTCAGATGAAGCATAAATATATACACAGCAGGGTGCATTACTCCAAAAGAAGAGAAAGGAAATTCTAGCTGCCAGATAAAAAGAGAATACAAAACCATAGTATAAACTCAGGAGCCCAAACCACACTGACTGTGGACTAATCTTGGCAATGACTCCTAACAATGGACTTGAGTTACAGCAGCAAAGATACGGCCTGGCTCGTTACCGGGCTGGGATCTGCATAGAGCTGCAATCCTAGAAGATGCTGCTGCCCCAGGAAAGGGAATGACTAGAATTCTACACAACAATCCAGGGAATCTACAGAGTTGTCTGAGCCTAAGTTTTTGAGGTGGAAAGTGGAAGATTTTTGTGAAATTTAACACATCACAGTTTTAGTGTTAAGAAGAGTACCCACATTTAAATTAAAAATTATTGTGAGCCTTTTCAGGCACTTCCAGGGTGCTGCCTTTATTTAATAAAGCAATAATTTAGACATGTAGGAGTACATTCTTGGGTTCTCTTGTAATGCTGAAGAAAAATTTTGAAATGGAATAGAATATAGCACAAAAGCAGAAGATAATGTGCAAGATTGATGTAAACATGGGAGTTTCAGGAAAACTGCTTGTACAATTCTTAGCAAGTAAATAGTGCCAGTGTAAGTCTTAAAGGGACAGATGTTAAGTTAGCCCCCACCCAATGTAGTTAGCCCGGACATCACCCTTTACCAGCTAGGTTATAACTGAAAACTGACCAACTTCTGTCCTAAGAACAGGTGCTTGTCAAGAAAACGTCATAAACACAATGTTCTGCAGTCTCGAGGATGATGCTGTCAACTTTTTTTTTCATAATTTTATTGAGAAACAGCAATGAGACAAGTTCAAATCAAATTGGTATATTCTAATTTTTAAGTTTTTTTTTTATCATATTCTGTAGGGACTTAAAATTCAACATATCAATACTTCTATCACCAGTGGCTCACCAAAAGGTTCCTTCAGGAAGCAGGAGTCTTTTGTTTTTTTGTTTTTGTCGGAACCAGTGATTGAACTCAGGCCCTTGCTCTTGCCAGGGAAGCACTTATTCTACTGAGCCATCTCCCCGATCCCTGAAGCAGGAATCTTTTGCACTTAACAAACTTTGTCTTCATGGCTACACCAGAGCCTTTCGGGGGAGTAGCTAGTACATCAAGAGCTATGGGCTATAGGTCACACTGAATTGTTAGTCTTTTGCCAGGATAAGGTGCATTACTATTAGATAATCAAAACTGTTAATTTTACTATTGAAAACTCATTTTTAAATTTATCATAATTAATAGGCCACTAATTTTACCAGTAAGGATTTATGATACTTAGTATGTAAATTACAGCATTGTAAGTTGGTCAGGATACAACAGTAAGTAGACTAATGCTAGGATATAGATTCTGGTTAGAGCTCAGGTTCATCCTAGGCTATTGAGGAGTGCTGTCAGGATCTAAGTGAAGTTTTTACAGAAGTCACATGTATGACTATGCTGACTACCTGTAAATTACAGATGATAGTTAATAGTGGAAGCATAAATAGCTAAAAAGATTCCATAGCCCTTCAAGGACCTATCAAAAATGAGATTTACCAATGGAAACCAAAACTCTTAGGATTTGTTTTTCTCTCAATTGTAAACTGTCAGGGTGCTCAATACAGTATCTCCAGGGTCAGGAAGCTACCGGTGTTTCTGTTCTTCATGATCTAGTACCCGCTACATGGCTTTTGCCCTTACAACCAAGAAAAGTCGGCAGCAGTTTCCACATATAAGGAAGAGGGAGTCAAACTAAGCATGATGGCAAAATAAAGATTTAAGTGTAAAAGTGAGTGTCTCATGGAAGCGTACGCTGAAAGCCAAGCGTTCTTCAGCAGAAGCAGAGTGATTCCAAATGAAGCCCAGAAATGCAGGACTAAATGAAAAGCAAGGGAAATACTAAATGTGTGAGAGAATGTGAATGAATGGATATTGGCTATAATAACTTGGTTAAAGTACCTATGTAATTAAAATGTGTCATACAATAACAAAAGTCAAGAAGATACATGGGAACTCGGGCTTCTAGGTTCTGCCATTGCATTAGTGGTAAAATAACATTTATTAGACTATAAACTCAAGGGTACATACTGTAACCTCTAAGAACTAAAAGTAATAATAGAATATCAAAAAATTAATAGAGGTAAAATTATTTAAAACAAAATATAAACTCAAACACTTTGTAAATGACTTATTTGAATCAAGATTTAAAAGTCAAGCTGAGAAATACTCTATTGTATTACTGCTCACAAATGACATTGAAATCAAAGGGAGCACAAGTTGAAAGTAGATGCGCAAGAAAAGATGCACTAAGGAAGTAACCAACCAAATAATAGACAATGTGATTAGCACTACCAGCTCAAAAAGCTTAAGTGTTAGAGATAGAAGTCTGTGCAAACTATGTAAGGATTGTAAGTCTGGGCCAAAACATTTTAAAAAACGTGAAATAATAGCTGTATTTGAAGAAAGATGTACACAATATAATTGGTTGCAAATTTTGGCTATAGATTGTACACATGACACAAACAATTCATATTTTCTTTAGACAAGCATGAATCATTTATCAAAGTTGACCCTGTCCTAAACAGTAAAGCAACAAAATTTCAACAGATAAATGCATTGATTCTGACTTCTTTAGAACTAATTAAGATAAAATATCAGTAATAAGACAAGCTCAGATTGCTTGGAAATTATGGAATAGATTTAAAAATAGTCCCTCAAAGAATTTTTTAAAACATTAAGATAATTAGAATTGAGTAATGAGAGCTGGCATAGCAAAATTTGGGTTGTACCCATAGCCGTACATGGGGGAAAAGTTATATCCTTAGCTGCACTGTTAAGAAAGGAAGGGTAAGAATCAGCAAACTGAACTATTTTCAAGAAAAAGAACAAGGAAATAAGTAAAAATCAGAGAAAGATAATTATAATAAAGTCAAAGCCAAAAATGTCTTGCCTGGCAAGCGCAAGGGCCTGAGTTCAATCCCTAGTTCTGTAAAAAAAAAAAAAAAAAAAAAGCCAAAAATGCTATTTGAAGTCTATTAATCATAACTACTGTTAAGTAGTTCTGTATTTGAGGTAAGGCCTGAAAGAAAAATCAGGTGTAAAAAGGACAAAATAGTACTATATAGACAACTGGTTATATACATAGAAAAATCAAAAGAATTGGCAAACCAATTTATCAGACTCACTACATGAATTCATATATAAGAAATCAAACTTGTTAAAATGATGCCACTTAAAGTAACAAAGATCGAATATTTGGGAAAATTTTCAGAATCATAATGTCAAAGTATTAGGGTTTTGTTTGGTTTTTTTTGGCAGAGTCAGGGATTGAACTCAGGTCCTTGCGCTTGCCAGGGAAGAGCTTATTCCACTGAGCCATCCCCCCAGTCCCGGTATTAGGTTTTAATGCAGAGGCATACTGTGTTTCTATTTTGGAAGGCAGTTATAACCTACAACTTCAATATGTATTTCATATGTTGCAGAAATTAACAAGCTAATAGAAATGTAAGAACCACGAATATCCAAGGTAAGCTTCAGTGACAAAACTAAAAATGTGTACCAACGAGGGCCTATGATTATATTAAAGTAGTGGTAATTAAAAAACCATAATGATGATTGGTATAGGATAGAGAAATAGACTAAGGTAACAATAGAAAGCTTGGTGCAGATCTACATATTTAGATCTATGAAAAAGAAACATAGTGGCGCACTTAGCTAGCTAAGTTTAGGGGGAAATACAGAAGTCCTGTATGGAATATGATCTAAATGTGGAAGTTGGGCTGGAGAGATGGCTCAGTGGTCTAAAGCACCTACTTAGAACAAGCTTAGCAAAGCATCAGGGACCGCGGTTCAATCCCCCAGCACCACATGCCAGCCAGCCCCGCCCCCTGGTGGGCTGAGCTGGCCACACACACACACCACACTCTCTCTCTCTCTCTCTCTCTCTCTCTCTCTCTCTCTCTCTCTCTCTCTCTCTCTCTAATAAATAAATAAATAAATAAAATTAAAAAAAAATAAATGTGGAAGTAATAAAGGAGATCTTCACAGTGGGGCAGATATCCAATCAAAAGACGAGCGCACACACAAAGGAGAATGTTACAGTACAGTGACAGAATGGGGGCTAGAGGTTTACTGTTTTCCTGACAAAATAGATTAATAGAGACAACCTAATATCAGCAGAGAAATAGGATGAATAAATAGAAGTGATGGTGAATTTTCGGTGTGGAGTGGATTAATGAAGTCATCAATAGGACAGGAATGATTTTGTGTTTCTGTTTCACATTGCATAGGAGATCTTGACTAATGCAGTAAGATCTACAATAAAAACAGACATAAGGATTGCAATGGGAAGGCAATGTTAATGAGCAACGTAATTGTTTATTTGGAGGTCCAAGGGAAACTACAAGTATTACTCAAGTGAATGTTGAGGATTTGGCATTTTTTAGTTTGTAAGAATAAAATATTCTTGTATTCTACTTTAAAATGTATTATTTAAAAGAATTCCATTCACAATAAAAGCTACAAGAGACCTAATACATCCAATAAAAATATGCAAGAATTTTATAAAAGTAGACCAAAATAAATGGTAATATCCCATGTTAGAAGATAAGAATGAATTTATTTATCAGCCAATCCAATCTATAAATTCATTGAAGTTCTCATCAAATTCTCAACAAATTTTTAATGGAACTTTAGATGCCTAACCTCATGTGGAAAGACAGACAGCCATGGCAGTGTTTTAAGAAGATAATGGGTGGATAGGAGCTCCCATCATTCAAGATGGCAAAAACATTATCTGCTATTTTTACTCCAGAGGCTGAGGCAGGAGGATCAAGAGTTAGAGCCCAGCGTGGGCAGTATAACAAGATCCTGGCTAGAAGTAAAAGATCACAATGATTCAGCAGCCTTAGGGTGCAAGGATGGCACAAGGCGCTATTGTACAGAAACGGGTGCACGTAAGATCTTGAGAGGGCCCACAATGAGGAAGGGAGTGATTTCAATAAATGGCACTAGGATAGCTGTGTGTCAGAGATGGGGTGCTTATATATTTTTCTCAGCATAATCAAAAGAGAAATTTGATGAATTAAAGGCAAATGTTAAAATTTAGAACATACAGGAAAATTTTTACCCAGTTTAAGAACTTGTTGAATGTGACAAAAAGTTCAGACCATAAAAAAGTTGGCATATCTGACTATTAAACTTAGAAACTTGAGTATGACAAAATATTTTAGAAAGCAAACTGTACACAGTTCTTGTAATATATTTACCAGAAACTAATAGGAAATGAAAATTTTATCAAGGGTTAATTAAGGGCCAGATAAAAGGGCAGAAGATGAGAGAGAACCAACAATTAGCACAAAATGCTTTAGCTTACTAAATCAAAATGTAAATCTGTACAATTAAATGCTATTTCATACTCAGATAATAAAGGGATTGGAATGATGTTGAGAAAATCCACTTTTTTCCCTGGCCTTAGTAAAGTTAGAATTACATTTTTAATGTAGCCTTGCAGAAACAAGGCCTTAAAAAATTGGTTTAAGACTCATTATTGTTCCTCTCCATCAAAATTTTTAGTAGAAGGTAAGAGATTTATACAATCTGAAGAGAAACCAGAGTGTAGGATTACATGTTGCTTATAACAACAGTTCAGTATCTATTTGTACAGAACTAAAGTGCATTATGTGTAGGTTTATAAATTGAGAGAAAACTTCAGATTTCTAGTAGGCAGTTATACCAGGAGACAGACTAAATTGCTTTTTCCAAAAACTGGAAAATCACATTGATTTTTAATTAGAAAACCAAATTTTAGCTGTAGGTAGGAAAGACTACAATGTTTTATTTTAAATGCAGCTACGCTTGAAGGTACTAATAGAGTTTGTGAGCTATCACAGTTGCCTATCTTGGTTACACTGGACTTCCTACAGTTATCTAAGCCATAACCTTGACACCCATACGAAGGTTAGAAAGTATGTGTAGTGACACAGTTTGATTTAAAAAAATTCTTTCTATTCATATGAAATAAACAACAGCAATCTGTTAATTATAGAAAATCTGGGAAGTGCCAATTTAATATTTTTGAGACTTTTACTTTATTTATTTCAGTAGATCATAAATTCAGTGTCCTGGCCAGGGAGATGGCTCAGTAGAATAAACACTTGCCTGGCAAGCGCAAGGGCCTGAGTTCAATCCCCAGTTACACACACACACACACACACACACACACACACACACACACAAATTAAAAAAATTCAGTGTCCTGATTAAGAAAGGCTGAGGTTTATAACCTTATAAGTGAATGATTTGAGAATTTTAGTGATTCGCATTATAATAACCTTTTTTTTAAAAAAATTACAGGTTTTATGTATTGCCAATTTCTTGTTTTTATTTCTGAAACAGGACATCTTTACCATTTATTCCAGCACTGTATCATATATAACAAATGCATTTTTTTACAGCGGTATTTAAAATAACAAGAGAGAATGTAACTTAAATGCCCCTAGCATTGGTGTCTCCAAGTAAATTACGTCGCAGGCCCCTAACCTAAGAATGGTTTCGGCACCTGTGCGCTAATGAGTTGACGCAGCAGATCTGGCATAGTCAGGTCCTTGGCGTTCTGAGAAAGGTCTGGCTCTCAGGCAACTCATGGGAAACCCCTCTAACCCCTCGGACTGTCCTGCCTAGTGCAAGTGCCTTTGTTTACCTGAGGGCTTGGACCACATCACGTAGTTTATGTGAACGATGACTTATGGTGGAGCACTGTACCTTGCAGAGTGCAATTAAGGAATTAGCTGGAAGCTGAGTAGCAGGGCAGCTGCGTGGGTTGTCTGTGTTCATGTGACTGACCCTGTAAGAGTCGTGGACCCCAGTCTCACTTCCTGATTGACAGTGTCCTATATACATCCCACATCATTCAGGGAGGTTTAAATACTGTACTGATCAGCTGTTCCTCTGAGAGAGAACTTGAAGTATGCATCTATGTCTGTCTTGTCTTGTCTTTCTTGGTACCAGGGATTGAACTCAGGACCTTGTGCTTGCCAGGCAGGTGCTTATGCCACTGAGAGATTTTAGGCTGGACCTTGTGCTTTTTGGTTATTAAACTAAGCACTTCTCTGAGTTCTATGAGTCATTGAAGTTCACAGTGGTCTTGGGGACCTTGACAAAAAAGTAAGAACTATACACACACACACACACACACACACACACACACACGAGACTACACATACCCAGAGAGGTCTAAAATACTTTAGTCCTTTACAAACATTTCCAGCCCCTGGAGAAACATAATCTAGTGAATAACATTTTCATACATTGAAATTATAACAATGAATAAATATCCACATGAATAAATTTCAGACTGTTTCAGTAGGAAAAGAAAATGAGGAAAAAGTGACAGAAGGATGGTACAGTACACTACCATTTATGCAACTGAAAACTCGCCAGTACAGTGGCACATGCCCATCATCCCAGCACTGGGAGGGAGGCTGAGGTAGGAACATCACACGTTCACATCCCACCTGGGCAGTTTAGTGAGCCTGGCCTCCGAAGAAAAAACTAAAGAGGGCTAGAGATGTAACTGAGTGCTAAACCCCCCGGGCTCAAGCCCCAGAATCAAAAAACAGGTGTTAAGAGTAAATATGTACATATTAAGAATCACAAATTTTATACATACACAAATATTTACTTAAAACAATAGTTTGAGAAGGGCTACAAATTTGAGAATAATAGAGTTCTGGGAGAAATGGGGTGGAAAGTAGATTATTTGCAACATTTTTTGTTTTTAAGTAAAAGATGCAAGGGTGAGAGCAAAACTTGAAAACAAATGAAAAGGAGATTAGTGTATTTCCCTAGGTCAACTTTGTTTAGAATTATGAAATGCACCAAAACTTCAGCTGCTTCCAGCAAACCCTCTTAAACTAGAAACAGGCCTTGGTAGAATTGCTCAAGGTCATGCTGAGTTCTGGCTTAATTAGAGGCCTTTTTGTAGGAAGGATTTGAGTGCTGACAGGTTTCATCTGAACTGTGGAAACTTAGGAGTTGATTCTTAAAACACAAAACAAGGATATAACAGTTAATGCCATACATTTTAGAGACATACCAAGTTTTTTTTCCAGTTTCTGTTAAGTTCAAAACATTGAGAAATTGCAGCAAGAAGAAACTTTCTAAGAACGCCCACAGTTGGCTCTCTTACAAACCAGTTAAACATTGCTTTCTCAGGGATTAATTCCCTTTATCTTGGGGGCAAGACATTAAAATTCACCTCAGGCTTACAATAGCAGCAATATGTCACATTTGTATTTTCTTTTAAAAATTGTTCTGTTATTTGTAGCACTCATAGAGAGCACCCCAAGTTTAGTGTTCACTGATATCTGGAAGACTTCAAATGTATGAAATGCGGAGTACTACTAAAGTCTTAAGTAAATGAATGGTCATATGCCTTGTAAACGGTAAATTAGGCTGAAAGTGCTATAGCTAGTATTTAACCAGTCAGCTCAGGTTTCTAATATATAAAGCTTTCTCTTACTGTGTTCCAGAATCTTAAAAAAAAAAAAAAAAAACACTTTTAAGTGTTATGCAAATGAGTCTTATAAAAAGTATTATTGTCACCCTGACTGTGATGACACTTGTGGGCTAATTATAATTGTGAAGAGAAGTAAATGGCTACCTGTTTGGTTTCCTGAGACCAGACATGAGCTGCCCCTGCTGCAAATAAGGGAATGTGACTAATGTTCAGCTGCTTCTTTCTTTGTCGCTTTTTGTACCTTATAACAAGAACAAAGAGACTAGGGCATAGTTCCCACCCTTCCTGTCAGTTCAGCGTTTATTGAATACTATTCATTGAGCAGGTGGCTAGGTGGAGGGAAGCTGCTATTTAAATATATTGTTGTCCTCACATTTGCCTGAAAAGTATTAACCTTATTTGTCATGTAAAAGCTGAGACTCAGAGAACAGAATAACTTTGAATCTGATAAATCCCAAACTAGTATTTGAACCCACATCTCTGACTTTAAAATACATGCTTCACAAAACGCCCTAGAAACCTAGTATCCCAAAGTTAACTAGTGTATTTAAAAAAAAAAAAAAAAAAGTCATTATAGGAAGTAAAGAGGGAGGGCTTCCGTGTGGGCAGGAGCAACATAGCACGGCTTTCAGGGACAAGCAAGACCTGGAGGATGTCATGAGGACAGCTAGGGTTTGGTAGTGGCAAAGAGTACATGTTGGTACAGGACAAGCAGTAGATGTGATCACTGACGAGGCTGCCTGCTCGCTTGCCCTTGCACATGTGTGTGCATCTCAGGAAGTGAGAACTCCCACTGGTGGTGCTGCTCCTGGCTGCCATCTGCTCCCAGGACAACAGATAGTGACGGGAGACAGGAAAGTGACAGGGACAGTGTGCTAAAGTGAGGGCTCCTGGAAATGAGGGCAGACATCTCAAGGTCAGGATAAAGCCCCACATATCCCAAACGTGAGAACGTTGTAAATGTTGTTTAAACAGCAACTCATCTTTGCAGACCCTTTTTAGAGTACTAGGTAGAGGGGGATGTTAGCTGGGGGTTAGGATTTTGGATACCAGGAGAAAATTCAGTACACCGGGTTCTGTAGCTTTTCCTCTCAGGGGATTCCAGATCGTGTACATGAATGTGTTGAAACTTGGTCACCACATTCATCCAGCATTTAGGCTGTGGTTTCACACTGATGCATGTGAAATTAATTAGGAGGGTATTGGTGTAGATGCCGGGTATGACTTGTAAGCAGCACTGTAAACATTTCTCACAGGGAGTTGCTGAGGTTTTTGTTCAGTTTTTGTTGTTATTTAGTACTGGGAATTGAAGCCATGGTCTTTGTACTGAGCTACATTCCTAGCCCTTTTTATCTTTATTTTCAGACAGGGTCTAATTCACCAAGTTGCCCAGATTGAGTTCAAACTTGTTATATCTTCTACTTCAGCCTCCCCATGTACTGAGAAAGCAGGTGAGTGCCGCCACATCTGGATTTTCATATGGCTTTAAAGGCTTTTTCTTTTCTAACTTCACAAGTTTTATGAAATAGATATTTATGTAATGTTTTCTTTTGGCATGATTTTTAAAGAAAACTAAATTAGAGCCATATGACTAGCTTTTTCAAGTAAAAGAGAAAATGAGTTGAAAAGACCTCAGTTTAGCTCTAAGGCCTCCAGAGATACAAGTGTTATAACCTCAGTTTTCTGAGCTCTGATCACACTTCTTAAAAGTGTAGATGATGCACTCCTGCTGCCTGCATATTCTCCGCTGCTTACAGAGGGCAGGGGAACTACCACCTCAGTGTTCCTGCAGTTTCGTGTGTCCCGTGCTGTGGGGGCCTGTGTGTCAGTCCAGCAACATTTTAACCCATATTTTACCAGCTAATTTTGTTGAATTTTGTTTCTTTCCACTTGTATTACTAAAACTACAGTTTTTTCCGTGATCATTATTGTTAGTGACCAAACATTATTTTATTTCTCTCTCCCTCCTTCCCTCTTCCCTACTTCCTTTTCTCCCTTCCGTTTTCTTCCTTCCTTTCTTCCCTTCCTTCCTCTCTTCTTCCCTTCCTTCCTGCTTTCCTCCCTTCCTTCCTGTCTTTCTGTCTCTCTTTTGTTCTTTTGAGACGGGGTCTCACTATGCAATTCAGGTGAGTTGCCCAGGCTGGCCTCAAACTTGCAGCAATCCTCCTGGGATTCAGTGCTGGGATTACAGATGTGCGCCACCATGCCTGGCTCAAACATTATTTTTAAATGTATTCCCTTCCTCCTATGAGGAATGAAGCAAAAAACCATAATTTCTGTCACCCAACATGTTATACATTGATGTGAATGTTCAAAATCCTCAGCTTAGTAAAGATGATCATCTAAGCTAGTACCTCTGATTTTTTTTTTTAAATAAAGGAATCTCCTTTTTTTGGGGGGTGGCACAGAGGGGTTGAGACAGAGACTTGCTGTATAACCCAGGCTGGGCTTGAACTCACATTGTCCCTTCTGGCTTAGTCTCTACAGTGCTGAGATTACAGGTGTGCACTACCACACCTGGCTAGAATCTTATTACTTAAAAAGAAGCTTTTCACAGATGGAGTGTATGTCAGTGGTAGAGCTCTTGCATAGCATGCACAAGGCCTTAGATTCAATCCACAGTGATGAAGTAAACAAAGAAGAGTTTTGGCAGAGCCACTTAAGTAAAACATACAGCTATGAACCCACAGGCTGACTGCTTCCCTAGTTCCCCCAGTACCATCTGAGCTATACAATTTGAAGACAACTAGTATGAAAGTATGAAGTCATCCTATTTGTTATTCTCTAGGACAGACTCCAGCTAGCCTCTTAACCATGGTTCTCTACAGTGTTTTGTTTTACAGTCCTGTGCCTTTGCTTATGCTGTTCTTCCATGATGTATGCTACACCATCCTCCTTTCACTATCTTGACAGCATTTGATTGTCTTTTGATAAAATCTTTCCCTGGAAATTTGCTGATACACTATTGTGCATTTTACTCCTGTAATGGTAGAAGTCACTGTGCTATTTAGTCTCTAACACTGTAATTATGAGAGTCATACACTGTAATTATGATCAACCTCCAGCATCAGGCACATAGATGATGTAATGATGGATGGATAGACACATGGATGGATGGATGGATGGATGGATGGATGGATGGACATAATAAAATTTGCCAATAAACCAAGTGAATGAGATATCCCAGTACCTTAAATTGAGAAAAAGAATAAGAGAAACTGACAAGAATTCTCTTCATATGGTCAGCTAGTTTGAAATTTGCCTGTGGATTTAGAGTGGACCTGACACATTTCCCAGAATGCATTCATCACCAACTCAGTCGTAGAAAAGAATCAAGCATGAGTCATAAGCCTTCTCTCCTATCTGCCACCATATATTTATAGCTAATGCAGTGGTTTTTTACTTGTTAAACAAAGAAAGAAAAATGGTTGCACAAAGGCCAAACAAAAGACTAATGGAAAAGGTTTTAATAATTAATTTTTAAAAGGTTTTTAAATGACAAGCCAGCTAGGAAGTTATAGAAATATTTAGGCAGAAGTAAGGATACAACTCCTTGGATTGTTCCTCTAGGGTTAAGTTAGGGGTACCTTGAAAGGTGGCAGGCAATTTGAGAGTGCAGTCCCTGTGTGTGAGTGAGATGACCCGGGACCGCCGGATCCTGAATCAACCCAGAGCGCAGGCCTGGCGTGTAAGTGAGACTATGTGGGCCCACTGGATCCTTATTCTACCCAGAGTGCAAGCCCAGTGTGGAACCCTTCAGCAGAACTCCCTGCAAAAAGGCTAGAGGCAAGACCCACCCAGCTGATTCAGGAGCAGAACATCTTGCCAGAGTGACACAAAGGGTTCATCTCCAACAGCTGCAGCAGAAAGAAGTGGAGCACAGCAGCCAGACTCCAGCCAGATCCAAGAAACACCCACCTGGAGGAATCTAAACTTCATAGATCCAGACCTGGTGCTAAGGTAATAACCCTATCTTAAGCTCTACACCAAAGGTCAGAAGACAGTGTGGTATACAAAATGACAAAGAGAAGGAACAAAATGCAGTCTCAGGCCCCGAGTCCACCCCATACAAATGCAGAAGACACTAGCATGGAGGAAACTGGAAATCACACACCTGATATCTCTGAAATAATAGCGTTGGAAGTAAAGAAACAACTGCAGAAAGGTATAGAAGAAATCAGATCAGAAATTTCTGAGCTAAAAAATTTAGTGATAACTATAATCGAAGAAGTACTAACTGCTTCTAAAGAATACACTGATTTTAAAAAAATGGAGCAGAATATAAAAATGATGGAAACCCTGAATAAGCAATTTAGGAAAGAAATAGAATGCATTTAACATTCAAAGTGATATATAGGAAATAACTTCAATCACAAGCTGGCAAAACCGTTTGAGGGAAAGTGAAAATAGACTTTCTGACCGTAAAGACACCATTGCAGCTAGTGAAAAAGTAAGAAAAGATCTCTTAAAAACAACTAGGATGCAGGAATAAATAATTCAATACCTGCAAGACAATGCAAAGATGAACAATGTGAGACTAATAGGCATCAATGAGAAGGAAAGAGTCAAACAAATGATATAAAAAGAATATGGGCAGAAGTAATAGCAGAAAACTTCCCAAATATGGGGCAACAATGTGACATTCACGTAACTGAAGCATATAGAACTCCAAAGAACATCAACCCAATTAAAACCACACTCAGGCATATAATAATCAAGATCCCAGAAATTCAGCATAGGAACAGTATACTAAAAGCTGCTAAAGAAAAGAAACAGATCACATTTAAAGGAAAACCCATCAGAATAACAGCAGATTTTTCTTCACAAACCATCAAGTCAAGAAGAGCACAGAGCAAAGTACTTCAAGTCTTGCAAGAAAACAACTTCCAACCTAGACTGATATACCCTGCAAAACTCTTTCAAGTATAATGGAGAAGTGAAATACTTCCATGACAAAGAACAACTAAAGAATTTCATGATGACAAAGCCAAGCCTACACAGACTACTAAATGATGTTCTA